AAAGGCTATTTCAAGCTAGAGTAGCAGATTATGTCTTAGAATTTTGGTCTCAATTTTTGTGGGTATCCGGATTACAGGTTGTTTTAAATATAGTAAATTTAATAATATCTAAGTGATAGAAATAGACATCTTTATTTAAAGAGAAAAGGTTTTTTTTTTAAATTGTCACTTTTTTTTATTATACTGTTAGATTTGCAATGCCGTTTGTCGAGAAGAAAGGTTCTCCCAAGAGACTACAGCATGGGGTTCTTCAAAAGGGGGGTAAAGAGGTTTTCTTCAGGGTCGGCAACGCGCGCGTAATACCTCTGGTATTGCAGGTGTTCATAGGCTACGGTAACCAGTTATCATCAGGTGGGCCGTATGCTTGTTTGCCACCTCAGTGGTATAAAAAAAAAGCAGTGGGGCCGAGCCGAAGTAAAGACTAATATGAACTAATAATAGATTTAAGTCATAATTATTATAAATTTAGTTTATGGTAATCCATAAAACAGTAGGTTATTCCATAAAACACTTTTGTGAAATTATCAATTTAAATAATAATACATAGATAAATTTAGACGAAAGATGTCTCGGAATCGATCTCATTGACTCTTAAATTTGTTTATGCACATATTTTTTTTAATTATATTTTAATTAATTACCATTGAGATTACTAATATATAATTTTACTAAATGGAAAAATTTGTGAGGATATATGTGTAGCTAGATATTTGTCACTCTTTCAGAAAAAAAATCACTGAACGGATTTAAATAAAATTTGGTACATAGATAGGTTATATCCTAACTTAAAATACAGGATATTTTATAAAGTGATTCATGCTGGCGAAGCCACCACATACAGTTAGTAATAATATAACCTACCCATAATTTTTAGGTGCATATATTTTTTATTGCTATTTTTATTACTTTAGGTTTTATTGTTCTTATAATGTTTTTGCTTTTTTTTTTTTTGAACGGAAATAGGTACTATTAGGCATTATTCATGTGGCGTTTACGTGTAAATGCTAAACTGCTGTAGCGAAGTATTTTTATACTTTGTATATAAATGTATTCAAGGCTAGGTCAAATGAAATATTAATTAAATTAAAGTAAAATACTAAACCATACATGTTTTGTATTCTACATAGAGTGTGAACACGGAATGTTTTAAAATTTAAATTAATTAAAATACATACATATACTAGCTGTACCCCGTCGCTTTGTCCGTATTAAATATTATAAAAATTACATGACTCGAGATAAATATGAGGTCTGGAGTAAATATTTTCTAATAAACAAAAAAATCTCATGAATATGCAGAATATGAAAAACATTGTAAAATACTTTATTCAAATATCGACAATATATGATAGAGATTAAGGATTAGATTAATTTGAAGCTTAGAAGGATTTGTAAAAAGTCGTCTGTTTTTATTTTTAATGGATAATATTGGAATGGTAACCCCGCCTGCGCTAACAGTATGTTGGCGGGGCACCAGTGAGGAATGATAGATGAAAATGGAAAGGCAGATCTGATAGCCCACCGTGATGAATATACCTGGAATTCAGCACAATGGTTTCCAAGGGGGACCACGTGGAGGTCGACCTGACAGAGTATATTGTTAGTAAGTGGACTGGTAGTCCGCATTACTAACAATTCCTTTCCCCTAGTCGTCTGCTTAGGTATCTTTGTCCCATTCGTATTTTTGTAGTGAAGCAATTGTGTTACTTGACTGTGTTTCGGTTTGAAGGGTGGGATTTGACAATTAAAATTACAGGGTACAGAGGCATAACACCCTCAGGAATGGCAACACATGAAGGATATCATGAGCGAAACAGTATACTCTGTTATGCCCACGGTTTGCCATTCTAAGTTGCACAAAAAATGATTAGTAACTACGGCCCTAATTATAAATCGACTATTCTAATTTTAAATGTTATTGTTACATAAAGGTCAGAGACAAAAAGACCATTGACAATACAAAAGAGATACATTAATAACTGTAACAATAAGCTTTGAGATGCAGATAGTTATGTAATATGGTGTTATCGTCAGTAGCTAGCTATCAAAGCAACAAAGTTAAAATTTTATCGTTCAAATGAAATGTTTTATATATTGTACCTAGGTATATATATATACAAATGAGAATTACGAATATTTTCTAACTAAATACTGATCCGTATCCTAATATTATAAATATAAAAATAAGTTTGTTTGTTTACCTTATAGCGCCTTAACGGCTTAACCAATCATTATGAAATTTCGTATACACGTACTATACGAAACGGAGAAGGATATAGGCTACTTTTAATCCTGGTCAGTATATATCCCGGTCACGTAGACAAAGTCGTGAGTATAAATTAATTATATTATAAGCACAAAAGATTGTAAAAGTCTTGAAAAGATCGCTCTCAGCAATATGACCGCTTTACTGAACTTATACAATTGTATCGTTATGTTTATTAATTTTTTTGTTTGTTTCCTATATTGTATAATGCAAATAAAGTATGCTCATTCATCCATTCTACAGATGGATGTTTGTAAGTCTTTCACGTAAAAACTATTAAATAGTTTTGAATTAATTTTGGTACACAAATAGGCTTTTTTTTTTATACAACTTAGAATGGCGAACAAGCTAACGGCCCACCTGATGGAAAGTGGTAACCGTCGACTATAGACATAAGCAGTATCATGGACATAACAGAGTATACTGTTTCGCCCATGATACCCCCCATGCGTTGCCATTCCTGAGGACTCAGGTGTTATTCCTTTGTATCCAGTAAATTCACGCCATATCTCACCCTTCAAACCGAAACACAGTCATGCAAACACAACTGCTTCACGGTAGAAACACGAATGGGACAGAGGTGCCCAAGCAATCGACTTTTGTACAAAGTCTTCCTCTGGCTATAACCTAACTTAGCATATAGGATACTTCATCTACTGATTAACGTATGTGAAACCGCGGGGCACAGCTAGTCAGTTTATAATATTTCAAAAAAACACTTCTCAACCAAGCAAGTCGAGATACGAGACTTTATATTTTGCTTATTAATAAATGCCAAATACTTAAATATGGAGGTCAACAAGTTATACAAATAGCCTTATTATATTATATTTATCTTTAAATAGTATAAAACAATGTTACTCTAAATATCTGTCTGTTTATCCATTTCTACCTGAAAGTGGTAACCGTCGTCTATAGATACGAACAGTACAATGGACGTAACAGAGTATACTGTTTCGCTCACGGGGGCCATGCATTGCTATTCCTGAGGACTCAGGTGTTATATGTTTGTTCCTTGTAATTTCATTATCAAATCCTGTCCTTCAAACCGAAACACAGGCATGCAAACACAACTGCTGCATGGTAATAACACGAATAGGACAGAGGTGCCCAATCAGACGACTTTTTTTACAGTTTCTCTCTAGTAGAAAGGTTGTCACAGTGTATTCTCTAAGGCTTCATTGTAAAATTTTTATTTACTTTTTACCACGTGGACCCTGTCAGATATTTTATTGATATTATATTTCCATTCCAATTTGCATAAATCCTATTTAATATTATAAATGTGATAGTTTGTAAAGATATTTGGACCTTTGAACATTTGGATGTTTGTATATACGTTTGTTACTCAATTACGTATAAATCGCTAAACGAATTGCAATAAAATTTGGCACATAAGTAAGTATATATTACATGTAAAAGATAAACTGATTCACGCAAGCAAAACCGCAGGAAACAGCTAGTAAATTCTGATCCATAATTCAAATACAAACATACCAGTAAGCGATGCACCATCTATGTCAACCACTTTTATATAATTTACATATATTAAACCATAAAGATGATCTATAGCATTAAGGCGTAATAATTCCCATGATTCTGCTAACTTTGTGGGAATAATTTGCATATAGTTAATGTTTATTTTATGGTAAACACATTACGGTGAGTCATTAATTGCATAAACTTCCTATATAACTGTAATTTAAAATAATCATGTAACTTCAAATATATGTATTCAATATAGTTCATGTCGTAACTTCATTCAGGGTCAAATATGATTAAAGGCATAATAAATAATAAATAAATTTGTTTATTTTTAAATCTCTATTGTACACAAAAAAAAAAAATAAGATTTTGGTATCTATTAGTTTTTATTCTTAGAGTTTTGGTGTAAAAATTGAAAGGGTAAATTTGTTGGTTCAAGCATGTAGAATGTCAGATGAAATGTTGACAAGACAGGTATACGGTGCGAAATTGCATACGTGGAGGTATACATCTATAAATTTAGGTCTCCACTGGTATATATATTCTTTTGTATTTAAATTCTAGACTAAACTCCAGCGACCAGAGAGTTCGCTATGTGCTATCTGAAAGAGAAGCCAAGAGTCCACGGAACCTGAGTGCATACATAAGCCAGGTTGTAAAAGTGGATGAACCAAGAAATGTATAAATGGATAGAGTCTTTGGCCTATCTTGGCACTCGATTCTCTCTAACTATCCCACAAGGGATTTGTCTTTATTTGTCTATAATTCTCTCCCTTCTCACAGCTGAGAAACATACTGAAAAAATGAAATGAATGGGTTGAAAAGGAAGGGAAAGACCGAGAAATAACTACATGGGACAGATAAAGGAAACACTAGGTGTCGTGTCGTATAGGAAGGTCTATCTAGTCAGCCTTATCCCAGGTCATATCTTTGGCCTGGGATAGGGCTGGCTGGAAGAGAATGCATGAACTAGTTGTCCTGACAAGAGAAAACTCTTAAATAAGAGAGATAATTGTTAAGTTATGGTATACCATGGTAAATTCTATGTGAAATGTAGGTGTGTGTGGTTGAACGGATTTACATATTATCACTTTAATTGCTAAGACCATAAAGTACCTACTAGCATAAGAAATAGTGGTTTACATCAAGTTAGCAATGCAGGAAAAACAGGTACGTCATGAGCGCAATATGCTTTATTATGAGTATTACGGATATATGTTGGGGAAATAGAGACAAAAATTATACGAAAGAAGTCCTGTTGCTACTATATAAATTATATTTCAAATAATAATATTTGTGAAATGTTAACCAAAAAAAAAATTGCATGCAAGACCATGTTCAGTGTCAGTTTAAATTTTATTTTTTTATAGTTAAATTTATTTAATTAGTTTTATGTGTGAGTGTAAATAAAATAATACACTATATCGTGAATGAAATATGAATAAGTGTTCATCGTTTCTTTTAAACGACGTTAAAGGTATGTATTTTTAATTTAATTATAGAGAAAAAAAAAACAGAAATAACCTCTCAAAATTATAACAGCTTCACAAATGTTTGTTTTTATTACAATTTTCCATTTATATTTACTTTTATTAAAAATATAAATAAAAGAAATATTTTTACTTAATACTGATTAAAGTAAACTGCTAAACTGCAGAAATATTTTTTATTAATTAATAATTAATTTAATTATTTAAAAATAATGTAAGTACAAAATATATATGCTTACTTACATGTGCAATTAGTGTTTAAATAAATAAAATTAAATAAATATCTGAGACGAATGATGACTTCGTTCTGCCCAAGACTTCGTTTGCCATTTTGAGATAAATTTTTAATTTTAATGTATTATTTAAAAGTGACTTAATATTAAATTTTACACGTGTTTGTTTTCTTTTTTTTTTATTAAATTTGTGCGCGTTTCACCGCATTCTCACCTGATCTCAAGAGACGATAAGCTCTAAGGTGTTACACGCAAACTCAAATAATGCCTTTATTTTAGCCTTGAAAGACCCCTTAATTACGGTATATATACACATATGTATATACAAACTAGCGATTTGGCCCGGTTTCGCATATCTACATAAAATTTTCGAAAATAGCTTGTATTACTCGCTGATAATGTAGCATGTTTCATAGGTGAATGTTTTTTTTTTTTAAATCTATTAAGTAGTTAAGAATTTATTTATTATAAACAAACAATCAAATATTTCCTCTTTATATTAGTAGTGTCCTTACTAATATTGTTAACGTAAAAGTGCGTCTGTTTGTTATTTGTAAGCGTCTTAACAGCTGAACCGATTACTATGAAGCTACTATTTATCCTAGTTAGTGTACATATTTCGGTTACGCGAACGAAGACGCGGGTAATAGCTAGTAGCTATATGATGTTTTCCATCAGGATCTCAAATCTCAATTCACTATATAAAATACATCTCGTTCAGGGTAAGTCCGGTGATGTCAACGAAGTTTGAGTAACGCTAACCTCTAAGGTGGGATTTGAGACAATAGTATTGTTTTTTACAAGTACTTGTATACTTATATATTGTAATAAATTTCTGACATCTATTAACTAAATCGGCAAATGTTATTTTACCTGACCACAAACAATACTTACAAAATGTCATTATTAGTTGAGCGGTTTCGGAGATTAGCGTTAACGAATATCGTGACAAGAGATTTTATATACATAAAAGATATCACAGTAATTATTATTGCTTTTATCAAATGTTTACCTACTGCTGATATAAGGATATAATTTCCCGCTCTGTGGCCGGAAAAGTATGTGACATATTCACTTAGTCATCTTGTAAATTAAAAAAAAAAAAGATCATAGATAATGAAATTATTGTTGTAAAACACCGTTTTTTTTTCATTGTCATTCATTGTAACATCCTTTATCATCAAGTTTAACCAGGTACTGGTATTAAACATTACTTACTTGGTTTTATGTCCATAAATTACTGACCTTGAATTCATTACATAGTTAACAACTGCATTTTTCTTTATATAAGCATTTAATTTAAAAGGCGAAGTGTATAAATTTAAGTTAGGTAAATTAAATAAACCTATGAAAATATAATTGAAATATCTATCTATTATAAATAATATATTGGTGAAATTTATTAGTATTTATTCACTGAATATAGATAATAATTATTATTACACCTATTTATTAATTACTGGTATAAAACAAAAAGAAAAAAACAAAAAAATATTTATACTCACCAAAAACAACCCGTTGAAAACTACCAACAGATATTTTATACATCTCATTCCGCAGCCTTCCATTTTTGAAATTTATCAATTCCACCACAGATTACGGAAACTTTGTTTTTAAATCGTACCGAACGCGGCAACGGAACGAACTATTCGAAATTCGAATACAAACTTCATACGTTCGCGCGGCGGCGCGGCGCGTGTAGTTGTGACCGGCGGTGACGGTGGCCGAATGCGGTAACCATCAGTCTAGTCCTGTATTTAGTAGTCGAATTCGGTGGTGTGAAGTTGCGTGCTTGGGTCGAAGTCACGCACCTGTACCACCCCAAATCGCGTCGACCCCCAAATTTGATGTCATAAAATCCCGATAGAGATCATAATTAATTGGTCGCGCTGACAAGCGATCGGTTATTGGTCTTCGTGAGTAATGTAAGGCGGCTGTAGACCGATAAATGGAATTATAATAGAGACACACATTTTAATACAGGAAAAATATTGTTGCCAACGTTTATATATGATTTATGACGTTTTTTAAACGTTTTGAGTCTACACCTTCACTCTAATTTTTTTTTTTGCGAGAAGAACAAGAAAGTTCTGTGAAATAGCTCACATCCCTAGATTAGATACATAATGATATGCAAAGTAGTTAAATTAATGCTAACAGAAAATTAAAATAAATTAAAAAATATATATATATATTTTTAATCAGCCAGTGTTTAACGCACTAGTTTTATTTTTATTTTCGTATTTAAAATTAATGTTTCTATAAATAATTGGCTTAAATGTCAATTGACATTGATCTAGTGTAGATCATGGTTAAAAAAGAATCAATAAAATCGATTAAAACGTCGCAAAACACCATGTGCTTTCTGTTAAGTCGGTTAAAAATAAAAATAAATTGAAAAATTTAAATGGCTTGCAATAAATATAAATTAATAACACTTAATAGTTAAAAGAAAAAAGGCGTTTCGTCGTGGAACGAAAAATTAAATACATTTGGCAATATGACAGGTTGTCATGGAGACATGGTTTAAACCACTGTTAGGTATTTTAACCCCTAAGGGTCAACAGCATTTATACTCCACTGATTTCACAAGTTCAACGTCTTATTAACTACCTAAGTTAAATATACATTATAGCGTTAACCCAGCACTAATAAGTAGGATTTAACTAAGAATAATGTTTGAACTAGTAACGTGTCGAGTCGATCTTCTTTATATTCGAGTACTTTAGTACTCATTAAAAAAATAATCGAATATTGACACGAGTCATAGCACTAAGACCAGTATTCGAGTCATTGTATGGATATACGAGTACGATTGTTACTATTCAAGGGCTTTTCGATTGATTTAGAAGTTTATTTTTAATAAAAATTAAGATCTTCAATAATTTTATAATTTTTCGTTTGTTAATAATAATATAAGATGAACAAGCAAAAAACAAACGTCGTTTGCTTGGGTACCTCTGTCCCATTCGTGTTTCTACTGTGAAGCAGTTGTGTTTACATAGCTGTGTTTCGGTTTGAAAGATGGAATATGGCGTGAATTTACAGGGTACAGAGGAATAACATCTGAGTCCTAAGGAATGGCAATGCATGAGGGGTATCATGGGCGTAACAGAATACTCTGTTATGTCCATGGTATTGCTTATGTCTATAGGCGACGGTTACCACTTTCCATCAGGTGGGGCGTCAGCTTGTTTATCATTATAAATTGTATAAAAAAAAAAAAATATCAAGTCCAACAAGTTCTCAAATCTTTTTATCGAGTTTAGCGTATTCGAGTCTACCTGTTACATATTTGAGTCAGTATTTAAATTAGCTTAACTCGGCACATCACTAGTTTGAACACTAGTGTTGGGCTGTAAACGAATAAATTGTAGCTTTATCGTCTTTTGATACTGAAATTGACATTAAAACATGGCCAGTTTTAATGATAGGACAGGTACCTACAAAATTACAATGATACCAGCCAAAAATTAATACCTTGAAATAGATCTACAGATAAGCTACATGATAGAAAGTGTTAAATCGCAGATAATACCATAATTATCCATAATAAGTTATAATAATAATAATAACAGGGGGTGACGTCCACCGAAATCATTCCAATCGTTTTGTCGGTGAACGGTCTCATCCCAACCAGTCTGGAACAACATCTCAGACGGTTGGGATTCCGAGGCGGCTCACTCCCGGGAAAGATGCAGAAAGCGGTGCTCTTAGATTCTGCCCGCATTGTACGCCGGTTTCTCTCCCTGGGGCCCTGACCCCGGCCGACTGTGTTTCTGCCGGGGTTTTTTTTTATTGGGTGAAAATGAAATGGTAACCCCGCTTGCGCTAACGGGATACGCTGGCGGAGCACCAGTGAAGGGTGATAGATGAGAATGAAAGCAGGCCAGTTAGCCCATCATGATGATTTCATCAGAAATTAGCCACGATAGTTTCCAGGGGGAACCGCGAGGAGGTCGACCTGGTTGGGTATATTGTTATCAATCGGATTCTTAGTCTCCATTACTAACAATCCCTTTCCCCCCTCTGCCGGGGGTTAGTATGCCATCTCCTCACCTTAAGAGGAGAGATGTGAATTTTCTAGAAATTTACATAAAATAATAATAATACAGATTTTATTATTATTACAGACTAGAGACTAGTACCGAGGTTTTCCCTAGAGATTATAGTATGGGGTTCTTCAAAAAGGTTTCTTCAGGGACGGCAACGCAAACGTGACACTCCTAGTGCTACATACGTGGTGGTAGGGATTATTAGTAATGCGGGCTACCAGACCCATTGCTAGCAATATATCTTGTCAGGTCAACCTCCACGTGGTGCCCCCTGGAAAACTTCGTGGTTAAACCTAGGCGTGTTCATCGTGACCACCACCAGGGTTTCCTCGGATTGAAAGATTTTGCGAGCGGTAGTTGATATGCTTTACAAGCAGGTTAGCAATCGTGTTTTTTTTAATGGGTGGTAACGGAATGGTAACCCCGCCTGCGCTATCGGGATACCCTGGCGGAACCAGGGAGGGATGTCAGGTGAGGATGAAAAGGCAGGTCAGTTAGCCCATCGTGACGAATCCCATCAGAATTAACCTCGACGGTTTCCAGGGGAACCGCATGGAGGTCGACCTGATAGGGTTTGGTAGCAATGGGTAAATTATATCCCATTACTAACAATCCCTTTCCCCCTTGGCAATCGTGGTTAGGCTTTTTTATAAGGGACGATGCTGGTCATTCTTCTACTATTGCCTTAGTCGCCTCTTACGACATCTACTGGAAAAGTAGGGGTGGCCCATTCTATGCCAGGACAATACGGCTATATATTAGGTACAATACAATATTAAGTTAAAAAAAAATCAAATTTCTAAAAGATTCATATAATTTTTAACTGTTCTTGTTTGCTTCAGCCATTTGTATTATATTTGAATTGAAACTGTGGTAAACGGTGTTAGTGGCAAATTTACTCAATGTTTTCTTTTGTGTATTATTCTTTATTTTACCACTGTTAGTTTTCCCAAATAAATGAAAAAAAAAAAATTAAAAAAATAATAATAAAGTTCTTGGAATTTATCGTGAATCCTAATCCCTGATAAGTAACAATATTCAACAATTCGCTCAGAAATCATTTTCCACGATAACTTCACAGGGTTGTGACGCTGTTAAAAATAATGTCAAGTTTATCGCATTTAGGTTTTACTTTTGTTGCCTAAGTAATGCCGTTTAAATACTTTGGTACAACGACGTTGAACCTGACACGATTAAGCTATCGTTACTTACTGCTAACTTGAATATGTTTATAGTATATTGACATAGGTGGCATTAAACTTAAGTTTTATAACCGACTTCATATTTCATGCTATGGAAGTCAAAGGCGTTCAACTTAACCGACTTTGGAAGAAGTAACTCAATAGGATTGTACTTTCTTGTTCATTTATTAATTTATAACTAATTAATGTCTCACTGCTAGGCACTGGTCTTGTTCATAAGAGGAAGGCTACTTCTACCTGATATGAAACCCTGCAGCGTATAGGGTTTTTTAATGGGTGATAATGGAGTGGTAACCCCACCCGCGCTATTGGTATACACCGGCGGGGCACCAGTGAAGGATGATAGGTGAGGATGAAGCAAGTCAGTTAGCCCATCGTGACGAATTCAACAAGAATTGTTCACGATGGTTTCCAGGGGGGCCTACCTGGTGGTCGACCTAATAGGGCATATTGCTAGCAATAGTCAAACTCCATTGCTAACAATCCCTTTCCCCCCAGCGTATAGGGTTTTAATATTAAATTTTTTTCACCGCCATTGTAGGCGACCCACTAAGATTTCAGTTTATTTTTTTTTTATTAATTGTTTTTCTTTCCTATTTTATAGACATATTCATTTTATTTGCATATATATTTCCTTAATTATAATACATATATGTACCTATTGAATATAGTTTTTTCAATCGACTTAAAAAAGGGAGGTTTTCAAATCGGTTGTATATTTTTACGTTTGTTACGTCATAACTCTGTTAGTTCTAGAACGGATTTAGAATTTTTTTTTGATCTGAAAGGATATATGTACTTGCATAAAGCTCATAGAAACTTTAGCAACTTTAATTCAGTAGTTTAGCTTTTAAATCAAAATGGTTTTCTTTTTGTGGAATACAATTTAATAATATAAATATTAAAAAAAATACTGAGGTTATTAACTTTTATTTTGAGTTTTAGGTATTAAGGTAGTATTTAGATTTACCCGTTTCTTTTTGCCTTCAGTGCGTGTTCACAGTCAGTATCTAAAATTTTTTACTTCGAATCCATTGAAGATATATTGGGCTTTATTTCCTTGGCGGCTTTTAGTTTTAGTTTTTTTTTCCTTAAGAGATTCTAAAAGTAGAATATTTTGCGAATAACAAGGATTGATAGCAGATTATATTAGTACACCATAATATTGTACGCAGGTTATATAAATTTTAGCAAATGTCGATGTTTATTTTTATATTTTTCTAGAAATTATTTTAATTTCGTTTCCATGAAGTTTTGTCTAGACTTCAGTCTGACTTCAGTCAGTTTTATTTCCAGAGCAAAATCTTAAAATAAAAGGTAAAGATAGATTATTAATAAATGATTTATTTCATAAAGATGTATGTATATAAATACATGTAAAGGTCTATGTTTAGGAATGAACAGATAATGGTTGAAATTATGTTAATGATATGTATACATACATATACATATATACTTCGTAGACAGTAGTAAATAAAGTCCCATC